GAGAGAGAGAGAGAGAGAGAGAGAGAGAGATGGGACTTGAGTTCAGGGCCTGAGCACCATCCCTGAGCTAGTACTCTACCACTTTGAGCCACAAAACCATTTATGATTTTCTGGTGGTTAATTGGAAATAAAGAGTCTCACAGACTTTCTATCTGGGCTGGCTTCAAACTGCCTCCTAAGTTGCTACCAGTTCATGTTATTGGCAATATATTTTCAAAGCATTTCACTTTAATCCTGTTTGTCTTTACCAGTGATACGTATATTGTAGGCAGCAAGGGCTTGGGTTGTTTTTTAATCCAATCTGCTACTGTGTATCTTCTAATTGGGCAATTGAAACCACTGATATTCAGTGTTAATACTGAAAGCCATGTAGAAATGACTGTCATTTTTTGCATTCTTATGTTTGCATTCTTCTAATGTTTCATCTAGTGAGATTTAATATCTCCATGTTGTTAAATTTGTGTTTTATCATCTTCTCCTCTGTAAGATTTCTCTAAGTATCTTCTGTAGTGTTTGTATAATGGTCATGAATTCCTTGGATTTTATTATGGAAGGTTTTTACTTCTACTTCAATTGTTCTGAGGATCCTGGTTCAAAGACAGCCCAGAGCCCAGAAAGAAAAGTCCATGAGACTCTTATCTCCAATTAACCACCACAAAACTGGAAGTGGTGCTGTGGCTCAAGTGGTAGAGCACTTGCCTTGAGCTGAAGAGCTCAAGGACAGCACCCAGGCCCATTGTTCAAGCACCACAACCAACCAACAAAAAAATTAATACTGTCATCTTCCCTCGGACTACTCCCTACCTACTAATAAAAGTACAAATACTTAGCAAAATAATCATTTACCTTATGGAAGACCAATAAAAGATCATCTAGGTGTCCATGCAAATCGCCTGAAATGCAAATGAAAAAAAATCACTATTCTGTAGGAAACAAGATGCAATGCTTATTTTTTTTTACAGAAATTTAAACATTCAATACTCCAAATGTTCTCAGAACATCGAGATTTTACCCTATGATATTAATTGAGCTCATAATTTGTCTTCATGGTACTATTTTCTTCTGCTCTCCTGTAGGAGGGGGCAGTATATGCTACTATTCACTCCAGTATTTGCACAGATATTCATGTACTCTGAACCAAAAACTATGATGATGGTTATACTTTCACAATTTTGATCAATCTTTATTTTCTATAAAATGAATACTATTTTCACCATTCTTATTTTCCAAATGAGATCAAAAGTAGCTAAGTAACTCTACATTCAGCTACTCAGCTAAAAAATATCAGGGCTGGAATTCAAGCCTAGCAGCACTTTTCATAATTCAAGCATTTAGAGTCTAGACATGGTGGTCCATGCCTGCAATCATAGTACATGGAGGCTGAGGCTCCCAAATGCCAGGCTTGCAAGGGCACCATCATACCTGGCTAATCCATGATACTTGAAGAGTTTTAGACAATAAGCTTCAGCAAAAGCATGTATAATTTAAACTTTGTAAGTAGATAACTGACATTATTTTGATGAGGGAGAAATAGGAAATAAATATGATATGAACTAAAGGAAACCATACAAATATATCAAAACATTGATTAAAAAATAAGAGTGAGGGCTGGGAAGGTGGCTCAGTGATAGAGAGCTTGCCTTGCATGCCTGAGGCCCTGGGTTCGATTCCTCAGCACCACATAAGTAAAAAGAAAAAAGCCGGAAGTGGCATTGTGGCTCAAGTGGTAGAGCGCTAGCCTTGAGCTGAAGAGCTGAGGGAGAGCGCCCAGGCCCAGAGCTCAGGCCCCACGACCGGACCCAAAAAAAAAAAATAAGAGTGAGCTGGGTACCGGTGGTTCATGCCTATAATCCTAGCTACTCAGAAGGCTGAAATCTGAGGATCTCTGTTCAAAGTTAGCCCAGGCAGGAAAGTCCGTGAGATTTTTATCTCCAATGAACCACCAGAAAAAAATGGAATTTGCTCTGTGGTTCAAGTGGTAGAGTGCTAGCCTTGAGCTGAAGAGCTCAGGGACAGCACTCAGGCCTCAAGTTCAAGCCTCATGATTGACACAAAAAAAGTGACTATGTGACTTTTATGATATTTCCAGGAAAATATGTCTCTTTCTGCGTCTGTGATGGCAACTAAAGGTATAATGGCAACTAAAGGTATAACCCGGGAGCTGATCCCACTGTGTTGTGGCTGTTACGTATAATCAGATAGTAAGACTAACCCTGGCTTCAGAGGCTTCCCAAAATGGAATGGTTTCTTAAGCCTTATGGCCTCCAATTCTTTATTCTTTAGGCCATCATGCTGAGATGTACCATATGCTAGAGAGCTGTAGTAGGCCCTATTAGGTTGGAACTGAACCTTGAGATATTTCAAAAATCTGAGTCATGACATTTCCTGAGGATGTACTGCTATCATCACTATCAGATGCTAGACATGGAAATGGTTTAATTAGATTATCAAATTGACTTTTACTTGTCAAAGTAAAGGAGCAACTCAAATTAATCTGGAAAATAACAACCAGTTTGGTAACCTAAAGGCTTAATTAGAAGTTAAGGTAATTGTTCCTTGTATACACCCCACTCAAAAACATTTAAAAGCCCACTAAGCACCAACTGTAATGAATTTCAATTTGTACTGTTTCTTCAAGCAATAGCCTGCCAGGTTATGATATGATATATGATACCAAAATCTCAAATCTTGTTATATAGAAGAACAAGAAACAGATTTCTGGGACATTCACACTCTTTCAAAAGCTGCAGGGACCAGTAAGAAAAAAAGTCTAAAACAGGAGTCAAGGACAGAAAAGAATTTCATCTCAACCCTGCCTTGGGTTCTCTTCCCAACAAAGTGACATGAAACAAAGATAATCAGAGCTAGTCAGGGGGAACAGACTTTTTCCACTCATGGATTGTTTTCCATGTTAAATGTTACCTACCTTTATAAAAAAAAACTATCCATTCTTTCATTTTTCACATAATTAATTCCTACCAGCTGGTGAAATAAACACAAAATAAAGACAAGATGGGTTAACAATAGTATTATGGTAGATAATCTAAACTAGCATTTTCCCCTAACCCTGTTCAAATGATGCACTTTTCAAGTCAGGTAAATGATACAACACAGGATCAAAAAGCTCCTGAATATTCATTTGAAATATTTCCTCTAAAACTTACCACATATTGTTATGTCTTTGAAGGGAGAAGAGTTGGTATATGTCAAATTTGGCATTTTCTTCAGGGCTTTCTTGGTTTCAAATAGCACCTCTAAGACATAGTGGGCATGGAGTACCTGTGAGGGGAAACCAGAGGAAATAGACCTAATGAATACATAGAAATAGACACATAGAAAACTCTGAAAATGAAGTATATGAAGACATTTAGACCCATGCATTTCAAGATACCCTCTAAATGGTTCCCAAATTGATGGTTCTAGCAAAGTGTATGGCATATTAGAAAACCCTCAGGACGTATTTGTGACTGACTGAATGAATGAATGTTCTAAAAAATCTTCTTGCTACAGCCCCCAAAGGCCAGGCTGACAGGGGCATCATCAGACTTGGGTCAACCATAGCTGGGTTTTAGAGAATTAGCTCCAGCAGTAGCATGTGGAATTTAAACTAGTTGACATTCTTTCCATGTGACAGTATGGGAAATATGAGATGTTAATATATTTGCATGTTCTTCATGAATATCCATTTGCAGAGTAATTCTGGCTATTCTTGGCCCTTAACAGCCCAGGAAAAGTAATGGGGGAATTGATGCTCACTTGCCCTAAGGAAGTATGCAGCCAAAATAATGACAATAATAATCAGTTGAAAATGAAAATCAGGGCAGCTTCTGTTCAACTTGCCTGTTGGTTTTTGTAGGCCCTAATAAGTACATCAATATCACTAAAAGTGAAAGGAAATTTTAGCCGAGGACCATTGTAGGACTGGGGAACTTGTACCATCTCCACATTGTATTGTCTGTCCTGAAATTCCCGGAAGTTGTTTCCAATAAGTTGATCTCCTAATACTGGAAAAGGAAAGACAAAGAGGCACCAGAGTGAGAATCATGATTACTGTACTTCAATTTAGCAAAGATCTTAAGCCATGTAAGACACTGTGCTAAATGTTATGAATATCAAGATATTCCATATGAGGACAATCCTGAGGAACAACTGATTCTGGGATATTCACAGATATCATTCCCCCTCCCATCTCTTCCCACAAGTTACATAAGCCATTTTCTACATACTGTATACTGAATAGCATGACCGCATTTTGAACCCATGTTTAATGTGATTTTCAGCTATTTTCATCAAGAGTCGATGTGCTCATCCCCTCAAAATGGGCTGGGCTTATAACTTCTGTGGGCCTGAAAAATATGGAAGAAGGGATTGTACCAGCTCCACACTTAGGTCTCAGGAAGCTGTGTATAGCTCCAGGCTTGCTCTTTTAGAATCCTGCCACAAGGCCTACGTTAGCCTACCAAAAGGTCAAAACCATGTGGAACTCAGGTGAATCATCCTAGCTGAGGCAATCCTGTATTAGCCAAAAGCTAGCAAATCTCCAGTTGATCATGAGTATACTCCAGCCAAGAGCCCTAAAACTGACAAATCAAGCACACCAAAATCTACAGAAATACTCAGATAATCTATAGAATGGTTAGGAAAAAAATGTAGTTAATACACAATATTATTACAGTAAGCTTTGACTCAGAGGATGATGATATATTCAATACTAACTTCTTTCCAAGACATTCCTTGAAAAGTTTCTATCATTTTGAATACTTACAGAGGTCCTGTTTGGAACATATGATGTTAGCACAAGTAGACAGAATAAATTTTTTCACTATCCAGCTATGTAGAGAAATTACAATTAAGAAAAACTTTTTCTAAAGTAGGTCATATTTGGAAATTTTCGTAATTGTTGTATAACCCACAATGTTTTTGATGACCAGACCACAGTATTTGATAACATGGAATTTAGGATGAAAAATATCTATCTTCAATTTTATCAGAAAGAGGCCATTTTTCTCATCTAGATTTTGTTTGAAATTTATAACAATTACTTCAAGCTAAAGAATGTTAAAAGCAAACAACTTTCCACCCACTCATCATGGTTGGGTAGTTAACTATTCAGAATGTTTTGATGAAGGGGTTAGGGATTTTTCTTAGTGGGAAAGCCCTTGCCTGACAAATGCAAGGCCCTGAGTTTGGTCCTCAACTCTGAAAAAAAAAAAGCAAGCAAGCTTCAATAAGCCATTAAATGCTTTAATTATGTACATACATTCCTACTTAGTACAAATCATGCCATTAAAATACCATCCTTGCCAGGCACTGGTGGCACATACCTGTAATCCTAGCTAATCAGTAGGTTGAAAAGTGACAATCATGGTTCAAAGCCAGTCTGGTTAAGGAAAACTCCAATTAAGAAAAAAAAAGCCACGGCTGGAAAGGTGGCTCGATGGTAGAGCGCTTGCCTTGCATGCATGAGGCCCTGGGTTCGATTCCTCAGCACCACATAAGCAGAAAAAAAAGCCAGAAGTGGCGCTGTGGCTCAAGTGGTAGAGCACTAGCCTTGAGGTGAAGAGCTGAGGGACAGCGCCCAGGCCCAGAGTT